CGATATTTACCACGACTCCTGCCTAGATTTAATTTAATTTGGAGCCTTCAACTATAGAGATTCTTGATGCTGCGCTCAGCGTTCTACTGGAATTTAATTGAATGATAACCTAACTGCTCTTTGGAAGCAATATAAATTCCATTACAACTCGCATTCAAACAAATCGTTAGGCCATTCGAAAAGCAGCCGCAGTAACAATTTCTAAAACGGCCTATCCGAAAAGAAACAAACTTTGTTTGAACTCCCGTAAATTGTCCCTTTTCCCTTTGGCTTCCACTCCATTGAACATTTCCAGCTTTGGCAAATGAAAATCGGTTCGTAAATGTTCGCAATTGCAGTGGTGGCCCATTGAAATTCATTTCCAAACAAAACCCACATTCACATGTCCACAAAAATCACAAAATCCTCGCAGAGGGACAATGCTGACGTCACGTCAGCATTTTGCATGAAATTAAAACGGAAAAGGGAGGAAATATTGAAAAAATAATTCGAATTATTTGAGTGATCAAGGGAAAGCCGCGAAAAAATAACATAAGCATGACGCAGGACTGGAAAACTATTTTTCTTTTTCGAGTGACGCAAATAGCGTTCGGTTCTGCTATTTCTGGCCAACGGTCTGGCGCCCGTTTTCATAATTTATGTGAACTTGATTTATTTGTGCGCATTTCCGCTCGTTTCGATTCCATTACGATTGGCGGAACGCTCCTTTCCCGCTCCCAGAAAGCCCCACAAAACCCCATAAACTTCAACCTGATTAATGGCCGCCAGCACGACATGTGAAAAGTGTTGCCTACTTCGGCGGACCTGTTAATTGCCGACCATAAAATTGGCCAAAACGCTCCCCGGCACGCGAACTAGTTGGGTGCTCGACAGAGAAATCAAACAATTCAATCTGCTCGCAATTCCCGACAACAGGACAGAGGTCCAGGATTTGGGAGCCAGGACTAACGAGCTGCCAGGAGCCCAAGAGCCATTTTCCACGCGTCCCAGTTTTTTGGCTCACTTAGCCAGGGAAAATTAAATTTACAACAAACAACATCAGTTACATGTCTTCACGGTAGCAAGGTGGCTGGGTGACTGGGACCGAAGGGCAATAGCAGGAATCAGGGGTAAGGACCTGGTGGCTGAGCACAGGGATTTACACTTGAAAAATATTTGGCACAAAGCTAAGGTCCAAGAAGATCATAGAGATTCTGCATTAACAAGAACTATTTGATAGTAGCTGGTTACGAATATGATGTATAAAACTGGTACTTCGTTTTCCGATGATACACTACATTTTTTAAGGAGTTTTTTCCAAGTGCAGAAACTGGGGACCATCGGCAGGAGTTCACATGTCGGCGGCGCTTCCTTGGGGGCGTCCTGGGACCTGGCGATGGCTTTATAGCAATTTAATGTGTTCGTGTTGCTGCTCTTGTTCTTGAAGCTGTTGTTTCCACTCTCGTGAAAAATGATTTCGCTTTGCTCTCAGCCCATTCAAAAAAAACATACAAACTGGGAAAAAAAACCGAATCAAGCAATTTGTCTGGCCTTCTAGAAAAAATCATCACAATGGCGGTTGTGTAGTAGGCGGAATCCCTGCTTGGCTTCTCCAAAAGTTAAAGGAAGTCAGCGTTCATTTACATACTCGCGCACGCGTTCGTTATATACATACATCTGGTAATTGGGCTCGCCATTAATTTTTTGCGGCTTGCCGACCTCGATTTTGAAGAGGCGTTTCGCCACATGTGTGCGATTATTCATTATTTTCGTAGCTCCTTAAGCGTTTTGGGATTACGATGGGATTGAGCTTTAATTGTAGAGCCTAGAGGAGTCAGGTTAAATGTTGACTTGATTAAACCTTTCTCCAGAAAAGAATTTAATGCTGCTCTGCAGAGCAATCCGTCTCTGCGCTCTGATTTTTCCTCGAAAACTGACATCCCATACTTATCCATTCTGTGTGGCACTCCCAGGGATATCAATAAACTCTGTGGCCTGCAGATATTGATTGCTGGTGACATTGAACCTTGACATTGTTGCCTTGGAAAAAGGATTCCCCAGCGCCTGTTCCTGCGGCACATTAATTATGCTGCTGGTCATCGCTCGTGGCTCGTGGCTGGCCATAAATTAATGACAGCGGGTTCAGTGTCCCCTAAAATTGCTGCAATTACTTGCAATGTTTTTCTTGCGGAATGGGAGTCAATTATGAAAATTAACATGTTCCTGCATAATTGCACACAAGAGCCGCAAATTGAGTCCCGAAAAAGCCTTTACATATTCATCATCCCACGATCTCCAAGACCCCGAGAAGTGGGCGGCGTCTTGTTTTTCTGTTTCTCGTTTTTGCGTGTGGGTTTTGGCTTAATCTGCTCGCTTTATTTGTCATGCACGTCCAGGTTGGTGAATTAAATTTGAATTTTTTCCGACAGCCTCGGGAAAGATGGAATTTTCCAGACTTTTTGCAGCGTTTCGGCTTACGGGCTTAACTTCCTGGCTTGGGTTCAGTCCTTGGCAACATTTTTGTTAGCTTTTTAATATTTTTGTGTGGTGAGAAATGTCTGGAAAAAATGTTGGTACGTTTGTTAAGAGGTCTTACAAATTATAGGCTTATTAATTTTGAATTTAAACATTCTCCCTTATTTCTAAAAATAACTACAAATTTGTATACCGCTGGAAATGTTGTTTGTTTTCTCTTCTTCAGGGGGAAACCTACTTCCCCTCCTACAGTAAAGCCTAAGTTATTGCCTCCATTTCTTGGCGCTGTCAACACGGCCATTTGAGAGCCATCTCCGAGACATGTCAATGATTTGCTTGACTGGAATCCGGCGTTTATGCTGAGCCATCTATGCAAATCTCCGACCTCCCGAAGGACTGCCGAAGCCATTTGCCATTGTCATCACCGTGCAAATGGAATTTGCCTGTTAACTCCTCCATCTGGTCACCTTTTTGTCTGATTTTTGGGCCTCACTTTTACGCAGTTGTCAACCCGTCGAAAGCGCCTTATTCGCCACACCTTTTGGGTGTGAAAAATCAAGAAAAGGTCTTCCCATTCGGACTCGCAGTCATGCTGTGCGTGCTGGAATGGTCAAAAGTTTTATTGTCCGGCAATGGACTCTTGAAACAAATGTGCATTTTAAACTGTGGGAAAGGATTTTAAGAGTTTTTTTTCACACCTCTGCATCTGGTGGCGACAGTTTTTATTTTGCACCACCGTTCCTTGTTTATGGTTGCCCTGATTGTTTGCTTTTTTATGAAAACGAAATGTTATTCATATTAATAGCGACAAAAACATGGTTGCACAAGTTTTTTTTATTGGAGTTGAAGGCAAAATTAATTTATCGCCCGTTTAAATTAATCTGAGAACCATTTTCACCAGTTGATTTAAAGCCGCAACAGCGCTTTAAAGTCAGCACAACAACTGCAACTGCGATTACCCATCGATTTGTTCGATTTGAAGGCTCTGAGTGCTTAAGCGTCCTTTCACCTTTTTGGCAATGGCATCCCGGCGATTTCAGTCCGTGGATAAACAGCGTTTTTGTTTGCATTTGCGTGGTGCTTATTTGCTTGCCCGCTGTTGATGTCTGCTGGGTTTGAAGGGCCTTTAGGGACGGGAAAGGGGTCCTCGGAGGGGTCGGGACACCCTGCAGACGCGGTGGGTCAAAGGCTCCTGGTGGATATTCAGTGGCTCTGCCGGTCACTGTTCCCAGGTGCGCCAAATAAATAAACGGCTTACTAAAATGAGGGGCTACGAAAGCAATGAAAATTCGCATAAAATTTTTATGCTTTGTCGAATTTAACGAGCCATCCCCCTCGATTTGTCCTTGCAAATTGCACTCGCCGTCTGAGAAATATAACTCTTCCCCTCAATATCTCAAATTAAGTAAAGTGGGTGGGGAAGTCCCCTCTGCGTTTAAATTTGCATAAGAGGCATTGGCGGATGCGGATGCGGATGCGGATGCGGATGCGGATGCGGATGGGTTGCAGTGTAATTGGGCGGAGTGAAATTGCGTTAATATTTAACAAGCCAGCGAAAGTGCAAAAGTGAAGCACATTAAACGAGCAAAAGGGATGCGGAAACGGAGTCCTTGGGGTCGAAGTGCGAAATTATGCGGAATTTAGGGGGTACCCAACCCTTCTCTTTGAAGCACGATTCGCAAATGTTAAATGTTAGCCATGAGGTCAGACAAATGTGTAATTTGTAATGTGGAACTGAAATGTTTGACCTCCAAGCGGAGCATTGAATGCAGTGAAAACTGAAATTCCCATTAACGTCGAGTGGCCCTAACTACCATCAATTTTTGATAACATGAAATTCAATTTTCGACACGATATTGCAAAATTAAATTACTGCGAATTTAAACCGCCATATTAACATCAAAGAGCTTTAAATTTGAAAAATATACTGCTTTGGCGCCATTTGATGAATTACCGATTTAATACCAACCGGCACTTATCGATAACCGCGATCAGCTGTGATCAACGGCGGCAAACAGCTGATGTGGCTCGCGAATTCCTCCGTTGTTGTTGCGCTTTCATTTTTGGACTTTGAATCGCTGCCTCTCGAGTTTGAACGACAATATTTACCTAACTCGCAACGCCATCGAGTGGAGAGCCATGTTCCGGACACGGGTGCACCGCAATCTGTCGTGGATCTCGACGAACTCATCGCGGACGACGACGACTCATGGCCAGCACTACCAGTATTTGCAGTGCTCCAAGCTGCCGACCCTCTATTTCCAGCGCTCCCTGCCGAGACTGCCCATCCCGCTGCTGGAGAACAGTTGTCGGCGGTTCCTGGAGGCCACCAAGCCGCTCCTCTCGCCGGCAGAGCAGGCAGATACCCAGAAAACGGTGGAGGAATTCCGACAGGGAGTCGGCATGGAGCTGCACGCGAAACTGAAGGCCCACGACGCCGAGAACAAGCACACTAGCTACATATCTCAGCCCTGGTTCGACATGTACCTGGCCGATCGAGCGCCCCTGCCCCTCAACTACAATCCCCTGCTGGTGATGAAGAGCGACCCTCGACCGGAGTACCAAGACCAGGTTGTGAGGGCCACCAACATGATCATCAGCTCGCTCCGCTTCTGGCGCTCCTTGCAAGCGGATCTGCTCGAGCCGGAGGTCTACCACATGAACGCCAAGAAGAGCGACACCGCCAGCTACCGCAGGTGGATGAAGGTGGCTCCAAAGGCCTTCGCCACCTACGCCTCGTACGCCTTCAAGGCATTCCCGCTGGACATGAGCCAGTATTGCCGGCTGTTCGGCACCTCCAGGATTCCCAGGATCGGCAAGGACGAGCTCGTGCAGTCGCCCGACTCCAAGCACATCCTGGTGATGCGACGCGGTCACATGTACGCCGTGAACGTCCTGGACTCCAGTGGCTACATCGAGAGCCCAAGTGTGATTCTGGGCAGGCTCAGGGCTGTGCTCAAGTTGGGTGCGGATCGCGAGGCAGCCAGTGTTCCCCTGGGCGTTCTCACCTCCGGACAACGCGACGAATGGGCCAAGAGCAGGGAGCAGTTTGTCAGCAACCCCAAGAACGCGGATCTCCTGCAGAGCGAAGTGGACGCGGCCCTGTTCTGCGTTTGTTTGGATGGCGAAGAGGATGGAGTGTTCAACGAAGAGAGCCAGGCTCCTTTGCTGAAGCATCTGCTGGCGGGAAAGGCTCAAAATCGGTGGGAAACCTCTATTGACTGTAGATATTCTTTCCGTACGATAACTTTTATTTACCCCCCAGCTGGTTTGACAAATCCATTTCACTGCTAATCAGCGCGGATGGTACCACGGCCATAAACTTCGAGCACTCGTGGGGCGATGGAGTGGCGGTCCTGCGCTACTTTAACGAGCTCTACAAGGACACCCTGAATCAGCCGTATGTGTCCACGGAGACGGTTCACACACCCGCCGAAGGAGACTTGAGCAACGTGCGACCCGTCAACTTTGAGATCGACGATGCCACCAAGTCGGCAGTTACGGAGGCTTTCAACAAAAACGCCAGCATTGTGGACAGTCTGGACATGAATGTGCTGAAGTATCCGCACATCAACAAGCCGATCTGCAAGCAGTTCGGCTTGAGCCCCGACTCCATCATCCAGCTTTCCTTCCAGCTGGCCTACCGCCAGGCCTACAGTGGCTACGTGGGCAGCTACGAGTCGTGCAGCACCTCCGCTTTCCGGCATGGACGCACGGAAACGATGCGACCGTGCACGAACGCCACGAAGGACTTCTGCGAGGCTATCCTGCAGCCGGAGAAGAGCAAGCCCAGCGCCGGAGAGCTGCGGGCAATGATCGACCAGTGCAGCAAGGTGCATGGCCAGCTCACCAAGGAGGCGGCCATGGGACAGGGCTTCGATCGGCACCTCTTCGCCCTCCGACACACGGCCCAAAAGGAGGGCGCACCCCTTCCCGATCTCTACGAGACTGATGCCTACAAGCGCATTAATAACAACATAATCAGTACCTCAACCTTGGGGTCGGATGCCCTGCTAGCGGGTTCCTTCGGTCCCGTGGTCAGGAACGGCTTCGGAATCGGGTAAGCCGACTGTCTGCTGGGATTGGGATTTCTGTTTACGCATGCAGTGCCCGTTCCCCAAATTTCTTTGACAAATTGTTCAATTGCTGACAGTTGATAAGCTATTTTTCTTCCAGCTATTCGATTCAGAACGATTTCGCCGGCGCCATAGTCACCACGTACAAAAACCAGGCCGATGGAAAGATGTTTATAGACAGTCTGGAATCTGCATTTGATAAAATTTGCGCTGTCATTCAGCAGAGCGGCAGTAGCAAGAAATAGGAGGGCACCCAAGGAGTCCGACCCTGCCCCAATGAATATGGCTTTAACGAAACCAGGAGATTTATTTTGATGCTTTTACACTGTATCCCTTGCGTCTGAATTGCAATATCTTATTCCTAGCTCTACAATTTATAGATTATACACTGAAAACATTCTACCCCGTCTAAAGCATCTGCGTCTGCTGTTATCCGGCTGCTTTTATTGCTTTTGCGGCTGATGGGATAATAAATTGGCCAACATATGGTAGGGCTTTGCAATTGAAATTGAAACGAGAAATAATTTACTATTAAAAACATAGATGGGTGAGACTTGGTGTAATAAAAGTGGATTTAACAAGAACTAAAACCTTTGAAGTACTATTTGTTCGGCAAAGGGTTTAGTTTGAAGATTTTTTGTTAACCCTTCAGGAGAATAATCATCACATTAAAGAATGAATGTAAAATCACAATTCAGTTTTCTTGAGCCTAAAAAAATGTTTTCTTGGGGAAGCACCTCTGGGTTATTTTGTTTTCCCAAGTAAATTTAACGAAAGCAGTCTGAAATTGCATCAACCCGTTCGGGCAAGTCGAACTATTAAGAGAGTTCCCTTTCAACACATGTAAACTTTGACCTTTCATTGTCACTTAACTTTAACAAGATGTGTGCCCACGCAAATAAGCGACCTTCTCCCAACTTGTTTACCCCAAAGTGGGTGGGGAAAACCCACGCCTTAAGCGGTGACTGATTAAAGGTTATCCGCACACTGACCCAGAAAAGTTTGCTACCAATCCTCCGCGTCAAGTTGTTGGCTTTTGATTTGCGCCCGCACACGTCAATCGCGAACTCGGTCTAAACATGGCTAGGGCTTTATCACAATTGTGCCCTTTGGGCTGGGATGTGGATGCCGCTAAATGTGCTGACATTATCAGTTGATTTATCGCCAAATTTTGTTGCCAACTGGCGTGGCGCTGTAAAAATTAATTAACTTGCTGGGGAGGTCTTCCCGATATACACACGATTCCGGCTTAATGGGCGGCATTAAAAATTAAAAAGGAGACATTTCTCCAGCGGAGAGGTCATTAAAGCCAAGTAGATTTTCCCAGCCAGTGGCGGACAATTAAAAACATATTAAACTGACGTGCCGGCAAGGATGTGGATGTGCAGTCTGTGTGTATGAGGGGATGTGGGGATGTGGGCCGTGATAAATGTGCGGTCGCCAGGATTTAATATTGCGCATACGCCGCCGTCGCCAGGCAGCTCATTAAATTATTCAAAAATGAGACTCCACTGCCCGTCCAGCTGGCTACATAGTTGTGGCATTATACGTATTCTAGAACATTATCCTGTGGCCCATTGTGCCGGGGACATGCGACATGTGGCGGTAATAAAACGTCCTAACGTGCATCGCCTGCAGATGAGCTTCGACTTTTTACTTTTTAATCAAAATTCCGTTAACGGGCGCTAAGCACACAGAAGCCTTTGAGGAAAATCAATAGCCGTTCTTCTAATTGAATATTAATACTTAATTTATGCTCTTTCACGCGGAGAACGCATCATTAGGTCCGGGCATCTGCTGCCAAACTTTTCCGGGCAGCCCACAAACTGATTTATGGCCGAATTTTCACCCCTGGACTTTGGCGCTTGTCTTCCGACACTGGCAGGCAGCTTCAATTTGCGGCAGCAATAATATTTGTTCGACCACAACAACCGCAGGACCGCAAAGCCGTTAGCAACTCCCTGGAAACTCGCCCCATCGGCTACAGTGCGTATGCGTAATCTTGGTCAACCGATTGCCGCATGTTAATGCACTGGGGCCAAAGGCAAGCCGCACTTCCGCACCTCGGGCTAATGAGCAATTAATATGGAAATCGGTTTCGGACAGGACAAGGTGCCGACCAATTATGATGCGAACTGGCCGAATTAATGGCCAGAACATGTGGCAACGTGTCGGGAAATTACAATTCCCCTTTGCCGGCGACAAAAAGGAAAATTCGCATGTGGTTAAGGAATGCCGCCTTTCCGGGAATACGTGCTTTAATTTGTTATGAATTACCAGAGGTCCTTGTACTGATATATTTTCCTATTATTTCATTACTAATAATTAGTTGACTGAGTACCTATGCTCCGTGTACGTAAAGTTAAGTGGCATTAACTTCATTATAGGCAAACGCAGGCAGCTATCACTTATTTAAAACCAACCTAGACTGGTTTTACCTCTGGCAAATTAAAACCGGCTTTTAAATAATTAAAAATGGGTTCTCTACTTTTCAATATCAGGTCATCGCCTTTAAACCTCTAGAATGTCAAAGTGTCAGCTACCGAAAGGACGGCTTAAGCCCAGCCACGTGCTTTTCTCAACGGCCCTTGACGTTCGTCCTTGTGTAATTAACATCAAATTTATGTGCAATTCATGGAAAATGTCTGCACAGGTGGCATAAAAAGTACTTGAAACTCAATTTAACGCAGCTCGTGCCTGTATTTAGCATTTAAGTTAATTGATACTGCCGCAGGACATTTGGTGAGACATGAGCACAAACAATGAGCAAGTCCTTTTAATGCCGAAAGCAAAGCGGAATAATCATTTCTAATTGCTGGCAATTATTTATAACATTAACAAATAGTCAATGAGCCAGCAGCGGAAACGAAAGCCAAAACAAAATTAGCGAAACAAAATTACGGGAAAACAATTCAGGGGAAACAAGAAAAAGAAATGTGCCAAAATGAGGTAAAAACTATTTGAGTTTGTTTTTTCTGTATTGATTCACAGTACCTCTATTGGATGGCAGCCAGTTTTTCAGAGAGAAGGAAAAACAAATTCGCACGTTGGGGTAGTCGGGAAACAAAAACATTTGTTTATAAACATTATTTTAAATGCAGAACAATTTAAAGGAAAGAATTTATATTTGGTTATTTCCAGAGGAACAAGAGCTTAAAATGAGATAAATTACCAAGATTAAAGAAAATTGGAAACACATTTTTTTTGCTTAAATTAGGTGAGAGCAAAGTACAGAAACAATGCAGAAAATACGGTCTTTAAATAAAAAGGTAAACAGAATATAAAACAAAATCTAGGAAATTGGATAAACAAAACTGTTGAGTAAATAAATAAAAGACGTATGTATATACCAATGCAGTTTCATAGTGATTCATTGCTTTGCCATTCATTGAAAAATCTTACTAATCAGTAACACCCGAAAACAAGATCCATAATCCACCTTGAATGTATCTTGAGGTAGTCAGAGTCATTGGCAACATTTGAGTATAAACAAAGAGCGCATCGTCATGTGGCCAAGACACTTGTTGTGTGCGCGCTAAAATGTTGCAGGAAAAATGTTTAGGTTTAGTGTTCCGGGCAACGGCGCGTACGAGTCATTTTAATTAAGATGTCAGTCACACAATGGTCTTTAGACTCGTGCCCTATCTCCCTGGCAACTGGAGCATATATATGCCACATCCTGGACGATTAACCCCATGCAGCCACGAGCAGCCAAAGGGCCAAGTCAATTAACTTGAGCCACAAAGCCGGCCATTGTTGTGCAACTCGAGTCAAGTCGAGTCAATTGTGCCTCGTCACACATGTGGCATACTTGTTTACATTTCCACATTTCCTCTGCTCAGAGCCACTTTTTTATTATCACCGTGCCTCATCACTCAGGGGATCTCGAATCCCATTCGAGGAAGCCAGGGAAGCGGAAGGACATTCGCCCCCCTTGAACACGAGTTAATTCAATTTACTGCCTCGTATGCCTCACAGTTCTGTGTTTGTCTTGGCACATCCTCCTACACGACCGATCCGAGCAGCCATTCGGAAATGCAATTTACCACAGAACGCGAAAAAGTTTTGAATACTCCCGCCTGCTTCGAGACAGTCGCGGATTGGCGCCAAAAAGTTTCGCAATTCACGGGGCGAGAGTGCTCAGGGCTCAAAACTCCAGCCGGAAGGGCCTGGCTCATAGAGTATTCATGAAATTTTAGTTGCCATTTGTTTTCATGAAAAAAATCTCTTCTCACTGCCTACACCCTGTAACGACAGCATTTGCGGGGATTATGAAAAACATCAATTTTATTGCAGAATTTCAAAACTTTTTGCAATAGCAAACAATAACTTAGTGGATAAATTACTCTGAATCACCTTTCCTCCATTGTCTGATCATTATTAAGGCGTAATTATTAACTTCGTTACTACTAAACATTTGTTTCAGCACTTTACCAACTACAGACTTATCTCCTTCCCTTCTGTATCTCCACTCTGGCTATATATAGTTTCATTTGGCTGGAGCCGCAGCGAACAAGCAGCAACTTCAAAGCAACATTTGATTTATGGACAATGGGAATGTCTGAGCCCAAGAACCAGAGACAGCCAAATGGGAGTTTTCCTGGCTTGGAGCAGAAGTTATGGTGGCCCGGAGCGACAGCCCACCCTCAGAGCCCCTAAAGTGCGTAACTTCCCATTTGCAGCCCGACTATTCGCATGTATGACATGTCCCACCTAAACCGAGAATAAAAAGTGACTAGAAAATACGGAAATATTAAACTACACTGTACTATACCATCCTCAGAACGAGTCTCCTATGCGGTCTTCCCTACCTCACAGCTTTTATTTCGCATTTCTTGGACTGAATCCTTTGTGAATTGGAAAAATTAATAATTTTAAATCACTATTTTTGCACCGTGTATCTGTGAAACGTTCACGTTCTCGTTGACTTGCCATCTTTACGGCTGGCGAAGAGGAGAGGGCGGAGGTTGTGGGCCGGCTAATAAACAAAAAACACATTGACCTCGGCCCAGAATATTGCAAGCCATGCAATAATTCTGCTCCTGCCCTTTATGAGGCAGTTGCGTTGCGTCTGGCCGGGATTTCATTACTCGGTCGAATCCTTTGTGAGGAGACAGCCTTTCACCCTGGGATCCAACTGAACGTGCGGAAGCCACATTTTCCCGAAGGTGCCAGGCGTGGCAATCTGGGTCAAGTGACTCGTATTTCGTTGTAGTAATTACATTTCGCTTTGCCTTTGGCTGCGCAACCAGAGATCTGGAATTTCAGTGGCTGTGGCCTTGTCAATGCTGCGGAATCGCGATTTAGCCATCGCTCAATGGGATGGAAATGCAGCTGACAGGCAAAACGAGAGCGAGGTGCCGCGGGGAATTGATTTTACAACCGCGGCGACCGAAATCCGCAAACGCTTTCGCACCGCAGTCGCACTTTCCACACTTTCCACACACTAGTGGCGCAAATACGAGTATATTGACCTTCGGACCGAAGGACCCTCCTTTCGGACACGTCATCGACTGGTTCGCTGGCCAAGAAGCAAGCGACTAGCATGTTTTCGCCATAAAACAGCAAAGCGGTTATTCCTGTAAGCCAT